GGGACGGTAAAATCCAATGGTTGGCTCAAAATCGTTCTCAATGGCTGGCTGGCTCAGATGCATCCGCTCCTTGTGACCTATGATTATGAATGAAACTACATTGTTCTTCGTTACCTCTATTTCTTTGTCTCACACCTCGGTTTACTGACTCTATTATGCATTTCTTGTATTTTTTTCTCTTGCTTTGTGTGCTACAAGGAGGGGGTGTGGCGACTTGAACTGGCGCACATCGGTGAAAAGTTCTATGTCGAAAACAGACAGACAGATCTTGTAACCTGTAGGTCATGGATGTGCGCCTACAGCTGAATATTCTCAAACTACGACAAAGACATCTGTCGTCCAGTAACCTCTAACTGATGTGTATGAGTTCATGATCCAAACCGAAATCATGTAAATCACTGTCTACCGAATTATACCTCAATCAACATCAATTCTACCCTTAGCAATGTAGTTCTCTCCCAAACAAGATACACAAACACACACAAACAATGAATATACCAAAATATTGATTCATACATAAACTTGTTTGGCAAATATATTGATTGGCATACCATTTACAGATTCAGAGAATTTTTTCTTGGCGAACATGCACAGATGTCACTAATTCAATGATGTTAACAACGAAGATAAATAATTCCTGTTTGCGAATTAACTACTATTTTTTAGATACAGTTACGACAACAACAACAAAAAAATTAATTCTGTTTACTCTGAATAACAAACAGTCTGTGTGTGTGTGTGTGTGCGTTTTATAGTAAACAAAAAGTTCATTTTACCAAAACACATCAAATAAGATTGACAGTAAACAATAAAAAATTGACTAATTTTACTTGTTTACTGGTCACTAGTATTGGAAAATAAAAGATATACGTTTCGGCCTTCTTGAGACTCTTCAACTGAACGTACCTCAGTGAAACTTTGTATACAGAAGTGTGACAGTTCAAATTGTCATACTTCATAGAGTATAATAACTCAAAGGTAGATAGAGAAAGTTAATTGGTGTATGGTGACTAGCAGTGGAATCCAGGATGCCGTCGACATGTCAACCTCAGGCCGAGCACTTTTAGGTCCATTCAATCGACGGGAAAATCTCGAAAAATTCAATTAAATAATTAATATGATCCGTTGCACAAGAGGTGGCCAGCTGTCGTGGCCCAAGTGGTCTAGTGGCTAACGCTTGGGCGTTTGAAACTATGGGCACTGGGTTCGAGCCTCGATGGGAACATCATCACTCACTGGGGAATGCAGGTACATCCAGTTAGCTGACGAGTCCCTAATAGGAGGAAATGCGCATCAAGCTGGATTCCACTGCTAGATAGTCACAATATACCAATTCACTTCTAATTACATGGTCAGACATCGTCGAAGCATCTGCACAAGAAGCCAACAGGCATGTCAACCAGAGACCGAGAAGCACTTCGGTCCAATCACTCGACGGGAAAATCTAAAATTCAATTAAGTAGATGCAGAAATGTTGAAAAAATATAGTGAATCATGCAGATGTATCGGAGAAAGCGTCATTAGCACAACGGTTAGGATGCTTGCTGATCATGCACATGGTTCGGGGTTCAATGCCCGCCCGGCTGACGCACTCCTTTACCTCACTAAGCCAGTAATTAATAAGAGTGGTTAAGAGGAAAGGCTGGGCATGAGGCTAGCAAACCCATCCTGTAAAAATGATTACCACTGCTACAGAAACTTCAAACCTCTAGGTTGAAGCCCTGTGTTCCACTGGGAACGTGAAGAAATAAAAAAAAAATCGGAGAAGGCGATGAGTATAACGAGAATCATGAAGATTTAATGGATTAAGGAGGTTACATAGAATAGAATGTGAAACTACCTACTGTATATCACCAATAGTCTCATCAGGCAGTCTACACTTCCCTACATGATTAGCTCAAACCAACTGCCATAGACTTTATGTCCATTCTCATTTACTGTTCACCCAATTTATTCTTCCCTGAACTTCTCAAAAAAGATTATGTCATATTACTTAGAACACTGAAGATTGTAGTTAGAGTTAGTGGGGTGTGTGCCTTTGACTCAAGCTAAGCTAACTGACATTATTGTCAATAGGCACTTCAATTCTTACAAGCATTTATAGCTAAAGTTATCTTGTCTGATACTGCACATCCTCTCGATTCGCGCAGCTTTATCTTTGTATCTCTCTTCAAGGGTGAAACCAGAAGTAACTTCATAAGAAGCATTTATGCTCATAAAGCTACTAAATATAAAAATACTTCCAAATCACCATATTTCTTTCTGTCTAGATTCAACATAGAACCTGCCACCGAAGTGCACCAGTTCGAGTTGCCACCTTCCAAATACCACACAAAGGTGGACAAGAAGATGATGAATGAAGAGAATCAATAGAGTTTGACAGGTATACGAGAGAAACAAAATGAGCAATGGTAGAATGGAATATGAAAGATTACAGAGACTGAATACATCTGAGCTGGCCATTGACAACGATTTGGAGCCATGTCACCTATTGTCTCCAGCCATTGATTCCTAGAGTCAGTCCCGAGGGCCCCAACACAGAAGTCTCCATCTCCCACCCTACCTGACTGACTCAGTTTAACTGTCAAGGATTTCATGGATTGTTGAGGCCATGTTTTTGTTTGGCCACCACTCTCACTCTTTTCCAACCTGCACCTATATCAGCTAGTAATGCCCGTCGTCGGGGGAGGCGATGGTTAGACAGGCATGCGCACCACGTCACCTAGCCATCTCAATCTGTGTAACTTTATAGCCTCGTCGATTGATTTTCCCTCTTTCCCCAACACTCTATGCCTAACGTCAACATCACTTACCTTATTATACCACCTAACGTAAGAAAGAGATCGTAGACATATATAATCAAAAACAGTCAACCTTTCATGTCTTCAACTCGTATTGGCCATGTTTCAGAGCCATAGAGAAGGACGGAGCGAACTGATGAGGAGTACACACGTCCCTTGGTTGATAGCCGGATGTCACGCCTACGCCAGAGATGGTGTAAGTCAGCGAACGCAGCTCGAGTTCGAGCTTACCATATTTAGCTCAGGTATTGTGTGAAGAGAGAGAGAGAGAGAGATTGTGTGCCAGATGTCAGAAAAGCACTTCTGAAACTTTTTAAGTCAGTAATCTGAACTGCATTGTATAAGCAAAAGTTATTATTATTATTATCACACGTATTATCTATGATACTGTCTAATTATATATAATTATAAAAGGAGCTAAATTGTTGCAATATGTATAAAAAGCCTGAAAACTCCATTCCATATAATTATTGTTATTGTTTAGAATAAAGTGTTTATTATTATTATTATTATTAAGTTTCGATTTGTCCACCCCTTACTCTTTTCCAGCCTACACATCCTATATTAGCCAATGTTGGTCGTTAAGAAGGCTCGCTATGCGTATCATACATCCTAGACACATCAATTGATGTAGATCACAATCTCATTGACCGGCTTTTCCTCCTAAACTAACGTGCGACGACACTTAAAACGCAACTGAATGACTGATTGACTAGTTTCAACATAGAACTTTGCACAGATGTGCAGCAGTTTGAGTCGCCATACTTCACTCAGCACACAAAGGAAGAGAGACAATGAACAGAGATATGAGGCGAAAACAATAGTAATATAGAAGAACAATACAATTTAATCGGACATTATAAGTTACAAGGAGAGGATGCATCTGCGCTATCAGTGGGAATGATTTTGAGCCAAATCACTACCGATTGTCTCCAGCCTTCATTGGCTTTTACCGTCTCAAGGACCCCAACCAGTAAGCCAGACAGTCTACACCTCCCTGCGTGGTTGACTGATGAAGTCATGTTTTATTTTGACTGATCAATCCTATGCCCACTAACATTGCCCGTTGCCGAGGAAGACAATGACTAGGTATACGTAACACATATCCTAACCATTTCAGTCGATGGAGCTGCTTCACAACCTCCTCGTTTATTGATTTCTCCTCCCAACTACCTAGCACTCGACCGACACCTAACCTCAATATTGCTCATTATATTATACCACCTCATATGAGGGATAGAAGGCAGGTACTTATGATCAAAGACAGCTAGTTAGCCAGGGTTTTCACGTCTTCCACTCTCAATGGCCAGGTCTTACTCGCAGCCAGCCATGAAGGAGGACGGAGCGAACTGCTGAGCAGTACACACACCCTTTGGCCGACAATTAGCCGGATATCACGTCTACGCCAGAGACGGCGTAAATTGGCCTATGCGAAACGAGCCTTCGGTATCCGTTCTGAGATTTCGTCAGCCAGCAACCCGTTGGCGTTGGCTGATACAACTTCCCAAATAACTGAAGTGGTCAACGATCTCCACCAAGCACTTCACTTTCTATTTCTAAGCTAGGAGTCAATGTAGTCCAGTCGAGTCCTGTAGCATCATCTTAAATTTCACAGAAGGAGCAAATAGCATGCCAAACATTCTCAGGTTGCAGTTCAAGGTGTTCAGAAGACTCTGCTCTATTTTGTCAGCATCTTCACCTAGAAGGACTATATCACATCATCTGCATATCCTAAGTAAACCAGATTATTACCTAATGGTAACAAGTCAATCCTTGAATCATTGGAGTGATTTAGGGTTAAGTCGGTTAGGCCTAAACGCAATGTCGTTCACCATATTACACTCTTTAACACGAGAGATAAAACGCTAACGCTTTCATTTTTTCCGCTTTGAATGGCTAATTGTCACAGCCACAAAGAAGGACGAAGAGAACAGCTAAGCAGAACGAACACACCTCCTATTGTCGATAACTTGATATCACATCTAAATGTATCAACAGCCATGTGTGAGAATAGAACTAAACACTAATACTGTCAAAAGTTAAGCGATATTCCCTAGGCCACTGACACACAGAAGTCACCTATTGTGGAACCGATATCAGTCTCTCTCTATCTCTCTCTCTCTCTTTCAACAAAAAATCAATCGAGAATTATTAGCAAATCATGAATAAAGTCTAAAAGATTATGAAATTAACACTTACCTCCATTAGATGATTTCACGTGATCATCGTGGATTTTTTTAAGTCGAGATAAAGATGAATAATTTGTACTGAATTGTAATTTCTCTCCGTCTGGATCATCATTCATTAAATTTACATAAGAATGACTTGATGTCGGTAGCTATAGTCACATAGGATAACGAACAAAAAAAACAAAAGGTGACTGCGGGGGTTAAAAGATTAATAAGGAGTGAACTATGAGGAAGAATAAAGGAATAAAGAGGAAGTCCTACTCACTGCCTTCACGTGGCGGAGGTGTTTTCACCAAAGTGAGAGGGCGAAAGCGGATGCCCGGCGCTCTTCACCGGGTTGACTGTCCATTGGATGACAGTCTAGGGGAGATGGCTAAACCCTGATTCCAAACCTCCAACGACTGGCGTATGAAGCTCACCGGCAGACGTATGGACAAAGGGCTTATTGGATGCCCTGGATGACTGGCCCCATTCAAAAAGGCGAATGAACCGGACTCCGTTCACCGGCTGCCAATGGATAGTGGACTCCCTACTCCACTCCTACTGCCTTGTAGGTCACACTTGGTTGTGTAAAGGCTAGAGCTGCACTCTCAAACAAAGGCCGAGCAATGCTGGGGACATCACTCGTACCCACTTCCCATGAAACTTCATGGTTCATGAAGCCGGCTCATCCTCCCGTAGGAGATAGCCGAAGTAAGGTAAGTAAGTAAGAATAAGGGGGAATCATCATCATATTATGCTTCGGTGGCACAGCGGTTAGGACCCTCACCGACCACGCACATGGTTCAGGATTCAATCCCCGCCGGGCCGATGCACTTCTTTACATCGCTAAGCCAGCAGTGAGACCGGTCTGTCTGTCTGTCTGTTTTCGACATAGAACTTTGCACAAATGTGCGGAAGTTCAAGTCGCCACATTCCGTGTAGCACGCGAAGCAAGAGAAGAAAGTACAAGAAAAGCAAATAGAAACAGTGAGCAGAGGTGTGAGACAAAGGAGTAATAAAGAAATACAAAACAGTTTCATTGAAGATCATAAGTCACAGGGAGTGGATGCATCTGCGCCACTGAGAACGATTTTGAGCCATGTCACCAATTGTTTCCAACCATAGATTTTTACCGTCCCGAGGACCCCAGCCTGGAAGTCTACACCTTCCTACGTGGCTTAGACCAACTGTTGTGGATTTCATTGACTGATGCCAAGTTTTTGTTTGACCGCCGCTAGCTTTTTTCCAGCCTGACCCTATATCCGCTAACATTGCTCGTCGAGGGAGGCGATGGCTTGGCATACGTAACACATGTCCTAACCATCTCAGTCTTTGTAGCTTCACGACTTCGTCGATTGATTTCCCCTGTTTACCTAGAACTCTACGCCTAACCTCCATGTTGCTCACCTTATTATGCCACTTTACACGGGAAATAGAACGCAGGCACCTATGATCAAAGACAGCTAGTCTTTTCATGTCTTCCACTCTCAGTGGCCAGGTCTCACAACCATAAAGGAGGACGGAGCGGACTGATGAGCAGTACACCCGCCCTTTGGTCGATAGTCGAACATCTCGTCTACGCCAGAGTCGGCGTAAACTAACAAATGCGAAACGAGCCCCTTGTATTCGTGCTGAGATTTCGTCAGAGATCAGCCCGTTGGGGCTGATGGTACTTCCCAAATAAGTGAAGCGGTCAACGTGCTCTACCACTTCACTTCCTATTTTTAAACTAGGCGTCGATGTAGTCCAGTCCTGTAACATCATCTTGCATTTGGCGGGAGCGAATCGCATGCCAAACATTCGTAGATTGCTGTTCAAGGTGTTTAGAAGACTCTGCATTTCGTCAGCGTCTTCGCCTAGAAGGACTATATCGTCTGCATATTCCAAGTCAACGAGATTATTCCCAGGTAGCAAGTCAATCCCTGAGTCGCTGAAGTCACCTAGGGTTAAGTCCATTAACACATCTATGATGAAGTTGAATAGAAAAGGAGATAATGGGCATCCTTGACGGACACCACTGGTCGTCATCAGTTCAGATGACAGCTCGCCGTAAGCCCTCACCTGGCTGTATGAGTACGAATAGAGTGCCTTAATCAGTGCAATATATTTTCTCGGAATTCCCTTTACAGCCAAGCATCTCCAGAGAACTTCCCGATCGACAGAGTCGAATGCTGCCTTTAGGTCAAGAAATATAATGACTGTTGGACGCCGGTAGGAATGCCTATGTTCTAGAATCTGTCGGAGGGTGAAGATATGATCAATACACCCTCTTCCTGGTCTAAAGCCTGCCTGGCTCTCTCGTGTTTGTGCTTCCCGAGCACCACTCAGTCTACGCATGATTATTGAGCCTAAGACTTTAGATACTATATTAGTCAAGCTAATCCCTCTGTGATTATCACAGGAAGACTTGTCTCCCTTCTTGTATATGGGGATAATCAGTGACTTACACCAACCCGATGGGACTTCTTCTGATTCCCAAACGCTGCCTAGTACCTCAGTTAATCCGGACAGTAAGCTGTCTCCACCGTACTTAAATACCTCTGGAGTCATTCCATCAGGTCCCGCTGCTTTGCCTAGTTTCAGATTGGTGACAGCTTTAGTAACCTCAGTTAGTGACGGAGGACCTGTATCTATATCCCATTCAGGGAGGTGTTGGATGCTCGGAAGGTTGAGCGTGGCTGTGGGCAAATTAAACTGCTCCTCATAATGCTCTTTCCAACGATCCAGTCGTCTATCCTGTGAGCTAATTATAGTGCCATTTTTTTCCGAGATTGTCTCACTAATGATTTGTCTTCTCCCACCCGTTTCCCTGATGAGTCCAAAGAGTTGCCTGGTGTTGCCTATCCTCGAAGCTTTCTCCATCTCTTTGGCTTTTGTCGCCCACCACTGTTCACGGTCCTTGCGGAGACTTTTCGTAAGTTTCCTCTTGTGCAGCTTTCGCTCCTCATTGAATTCGGAGCTCGCCGGAATAAGTCTTCTAGCATCTATCAGTTCGGATGAGGCGGTGGAGATCCAGTGGTTTTTACTCACCTTTGGGTTTACCTTATTCACAGCTTTTACAGCTGTATCTATGGCTGCCTGGATATTTTTCCAAGCTTCTTCAGGGTGAGCACAGCTGTCGAACACAGATATGTGTTTAGCTAGTTCTTCCTCAAATACGGATTTAGTTTCCTGATCGAGCTGGGGACGTGATGGTTTTACCGCCAGCTGTTTCCTACGTCCGTTCAGTCGTAAGCACACCCGAGCGCGGACCAGTGCATGGTCGGTATCTACGCACGTGTTCCAGAAGGAGCGACAATCTCCTACCGACCCACGCCAACGATAGCTTATTGCTATGTGGTCTATTTGTGTCCAGCGTTGGTTTGATGAAGGGGGTCTCCAAGTCAAACAGTGTCTCTCCTTGTGTTTGAAGTTAGTGCTTACAAGAAACAAATGATTATCAGAGCAGAACTGTAGGAGACGGTCACCGTTGTCGGTTCGCTGGCACGGAACTCCATAGGTGCCACCGACATCCTTCTCAGATTGACACAATTTCCCTACTTGAGCGTTAAAGTCACCAGCTAGAACGACTATGTCTGAGCGTTTAGCCTTTCTCACCAAACTAGACAGCTTTTGGTAGAACTCATCCTTCGTTTCATCTGAACTGCAGTCAGTGGGGGCGTAGGCGGAGATTACGAAAAGGCATCGGCGAGTAGTGCAGTCCTTCCTCCTTCTTACTGATCCGTTCAGGCGGACAGCACACATTCGGCTATCTACCGGGATCCAGTCAAGCAATGTCTTTTCTGCCCTAGTACTCAAAGCTATCCCTACGCCAGCTAATCCTCGTGAACTAGCTGTGGCATCTCCTGACACCCTCAAGGTGAATTTTGCAGATTCAACCTGTTGGCCAGGTGGGGTTAGGTGAATAACCACACTTGGGTCTTGTATGCGTGTTTCTGAAACACAGCATACATCAATGGCTCGTGATGCCAGGGTCTTGGCTAGTGATGCTTGTTGTCCTATTTGGCAAAGTGTCCTAACATTAAGAGCTCCTATATGAAATTGGTGGCGCGGCTTTAAGAGGCAGAAAGGTTGAGCATGAGGCTAGCAACCCTATCCTGTAAAAATTAGCACTGCCACAGGAACTTCAAGCTTTTAGCTTGGAGCCCTATGTTCCACTGGGGACGTGAAGGGAAAAAAATCATCATATTGCTATTGCCTTGAGTTTCAAGTAAAACATAGGACCAAAGCAACACAACACTCAGTTATCTGTAGTGCTTTTTATTTCTCTACACCTCCAACACACAGAGGCTTTTATATCCTCCTCATTCTTGGAAACTAATGCTCAACTCATCGTTTCCCATTCAAGTGTACTTCTAGAGGGGGTTTCCATAACTCGTAATGTCACTCGATGGGTCTCCTCGGCGTAGGTCAGAATCCACCTCCATTTCGTTCTGCATATTTCTCAGGTGATGAGTTTTTGGTTAGTTAGTTAGTTCGTTTCCAGAGTTGCCTTGTTGTTTTGTTATTTCTGATGTGACCGTCAGAGCTTCATTATGGAGCGACCAAGTTCCCCCACCTCAACCATACTGAAGCTCTGGCTTGACATCAGTGTTAAAGAGAACTGGATGTCGTTCTTTATGCTGACTAGAGTAGATTTTACACACCGACTTCAGAGTAAAAAATATCTGTCTTGATTCACTGATGACGTTTCGAGCACAAACAATTGCTCATAATCATATCCAGTCACTCACATTTGAATAAAACCAGTAATATTAAGATAAAGTACGTTCAGAAATAATAATATTAGTGTTATCAATAAAAATACAATCAGATGGGAAGTAAGATGTTTTTATAGTAAAATAAATAAATAACTTGTTAGAATGCTATAATATATGTGAATTGAAATAGACTTTAAGATTATTTATCATCCACCTATGATTTGACTAGTGGTAATAATATCTTCAATATCTCTGGTATTTGCATTGAGTCATTTCTGTTGCATGTGTTGTGTTGGGTGTGTAGACTCGATGAACGAGGCAGGATTCAATAACCAATCTCTCTCTCTCTCAACCTACACCTACCTTTATTACTTCTTAGAATTTTAAACCTCTTCCACCCCTCTTGTGTGATTGTGTGTTAATGCATGGAGTGCGATTGCTAACCTTTTTTCTAAATTACTTATCTT